GTTATAGACGGAATTTTGGCCTTTTTCAGAGTTATGTTCTGTAGCATGGAGATTAGCACTGCTCGTGAGTTAGTGGGCCATGGCTTCAATAGTAAGATACATACTAAAACGTAACTTTGATTTTCATCAAACTATGTCCCTAACAATCCACGCGTCCGTTTCCAGGTTACAAGTACATCTAAAGGAACGTATGCACTCCTTAGACGAGAAGAACGCGTTGACTCAAGAGCTGGACAAGACGAGGAAGTACGCCGATGAGTTGCTAGCGGAGAAGCAGGATATCCTCAAGGAGTTGGCCAAGTGGAGAATGGAGACTGAACAGGTATTTTGATGTAAAAAGAAAATTTTCACCGCGGTTATCACTGCGTTTTTATTATCAATATAGATGAAACTAACGAAGCTTAAAATGTGGACAGTAAGCTCTTTATTTCAAGTTGTTGTAAGGCAGATTCCCCTGAGAAGAATCATGAAACTCTAGGGGTTGCTCTTTGTAAATATACATTTGTCATTACAAGATGAAATTTAAACAACTTAGGTCGAGACTACCTGCAAGAGCTAAAAGGGTTACTACCACGGATTGTTGTCATCCAAGTATCCAGAAGGTATAAATAACCTTTAGTATAATATTTTTGTTTCACTGTATTTTTAAACCTCGTAAATGGCAAATTTTGGTAATGAAGAAGGAAATCGTCCAGTATGCCATATCACTGGGAGGTGGACCCAATGATCTACGAAATAAAACCTCCTCTAGGTGCTGCTTTCGCTGTTGTGGTCTTTTAGATCTTTAATCGTGTAGTCCTTACTTCTAACTTACTGAAACTTACGTAACTTAATGGTGGTAGTTCAGTGGGAGAACGGTTGCTTCTAAATTGAAAATTGGATGGTTCAAATCCCTCCTACGGTATGTAACTTTAACTCCTGACAGCGTGGCAGACTATGGCCTTAACCCTCTTCTTAGAATTGAACCATGCTTCGCAATGGGACGTGCACCCAACAACGTATGTCTCAGATTATTGTTTGAATAGCGACCTTACTGCGCTTATAATAGCGGCAACAACCGGATCAATTGAAGACTACGTATTAGATAAAGATGTACGGAAAGACGACATGGGCCTAGATTCCACACAAATTTGATTCAAAGTAGTAGGTATGGGAGTACGGGGAATGAGTGAGACAAACGCTGGCTGGTAACACACTGCTTTATTCTTATAAAGTAAGGACGGTGGGTGTATATACGCATGTATGTATAACAATTCCATATCAAAATTATGCATAAACATATATACATAGTAGACATAGTATTATATAATCTATTATATAATATTTTATAATCTAGGTTAAATTGGGAACGACTACGTAACCTGTTCTACCAAACTGTGCGTTGGTCCTGTATTTGTTCAATGCCGGACGGAACTCTCCCAATGTCCGGCTCGGCCACCACATCAGGATATGACTCTCCCTCTTTGAATTCCGAATCATCAATCAATCTGTATTCCATAGCATTTAAGTTTATTTGTAAAGAGCAATCCCTAGAGTTTGTTGCTCGTCATTCTCAGGGAAGCCAGCGTAGTGAACGAGCAGTAGTTTACCTATTGAATAAATGATTCTGTGACTTGAAATTATTTACCTGAGTTGGCCCAAGTCTGAAGTTCCCACGTAACAGTGACCATTGGTTGCAGTTGAAACGGCAGATGCTCCAACAAGAGATCGCGTTTAACATCCAACAAACTGATGCCTTGACAAGATCATTGTCACCAGGAGCACCAGCGCCGCCGCCTTCCGTCGGACTCTTCCAGACCAAGGTAATCATGGCAGTGTAGCAAGAGACCGGAATAAATGGAATAGGTACACGTTTCTCAAGACATTGTCTACAGATGGTATCATAAATTGTACTTGTGTCGAGCACTCGAGTTTGGATTTCAATTTCTTTGAATATATCGTTTCTTGAGGAAAAAGCCATTTTTTAACTGCCAGTAACGACAATTTTGTAAATGTATATGTGACCTAGTACCATTTCTGCCGCTAAGCAGTAATATAACTTTTTAGTCGTAGCGCCATCTATGAGAAGTCTATGAAAGTTTTATCGCCCAGTTAGATACCTTTACAGCTACCGGCCCTGGCGAGAGATGTCGCTATTCACTGTATTTTAAATTTTTATTGAATTGATATTCAAATATTTTTTGTGAAATTACTCCATTAGTTTGTTATAATTATTAATACAAATATGAAGAACACGTAGAAGAAAATCGTTCGATCCGGCCGAATTCGAACCGACGCAGCGGGCCTCACGAATTTTTCTATGTGCTTGTTGTCGTGTCTTTGTATTTGGTTTTTCAACGACTTTTTAGTAAACTAACTATTACTTTGTTTCGGTTTATGAAGAGTAAGGGTGCTCGTGAAATTACAATCATATGGGACTTGTGATCACGTGACGAGCGCAGTGGCAGTGCCCCTAAGATCTTTACGATTAAAAGCTCTTAAGTGGCACTGCAACTGTTATGGATAGGCGTGTCGCTTACCATCAGGCGCACGACTTGTTCGTCCCGTCACTTGCTATTTATAAAAAAAAAGTCAAATACACGATTGCTTGCGTACAATCGCACCTGATGTTAATCGACGATGTATCCGACCTTGTTACGTATTTGTTAAGTTCAAGCTCTAGCCCTTAATAGCCTTAAATTGTAGCTAAACACTGTAGTCGGCAGTATTCATTTGCCTTAGCTTCAGGAATTATGAAGGACAGCACTTCCTGCAAATAGGTGGTAAGTCAATGGACTTAAGAATGGAATGTTCCAGAGTATCTCGTAGACCGAAAAACTATTTTTGATTATACTGTCGTCACAGGCAATTAGAAAACTTGTTTTAAACATAATTTTTTATAATTATTAAAACAAAGAAACACGAAACACTAAGAAAAATTCATTTGATCCAGCTGGATTCGAACCAGTACCCTCGGGCAAGCCACGGGACGAACCAGCAGACCTTACGATGAATGTTTTCTATGTGCTATGTAGCAGGTCTTTGATTTTGGTTTTTAACTACTCTTTTCCCGTAGCGCCATCTGTGAAAAAGTTATTTCTTACTCAGAAAGGTACCTTTACAGCTACTACTAATTGGCATAGTATCTGACAAGGATTGCCTGAGGATACTGGTTGGAGTCCAGCCGGATTTAATGATTTATATAGATTTTCTTGGTGTTTCTTTGTTCTAATAATTACTACGAAGTAGTGGAGTAATTTAACAAAAAATAATTGAATATCATGGTGGTCAAACATCGTGGCATTCAACAAACTTAAAAATTGTAATAAATCTATTTTAAAATGTTTCAGTTGGACGGTTCGTGGGAGAAACTGCAACCAGCGCATGTATTAGCGAATGTACAGCAAGCGTTTGACACAAGCGACGCCGAGGTGCGTTCACATTTTAACAGCCTTTTCCAATTCTTAGGTTTTCACGATGGTTACGTTAATTTTACATCAAGTATATTTGTTTTTTAAAACAAACCAAAGCTTCGTGCCATTTGTGGGTTCCATAATCACTATTAACCACCTTTTCACTGTGGTATTAAAACGACCTTATACGCCAGTATAAGAAGAATAACTTGGCTTCGAGGTCACCTTCCTCGGTATATCTTGCTAGAATGATTGTGTTAGGGAGTAAAAAAAAAATACTAACTTCTCCGACGCTCAGAACGACGAGTCGGACGGCGGCGTGGAGGGGGGACACACGGACGCAGCGGCGCTGGCGCTCATGCTGCAGGAGCAACTCGATGCCATCAACACGGAGATCCGGCTCATTCAGGAGGAGAAGCAGAACACGGAGGCCAGAGCCGAGGAGCTCGAATCCAGAGTAAGTATCTTTATTAATGACTTGCCTACTATGTAGCCTACTATGGAGAGTCGTAAAAGGAAATAGTCAACAAACAAGTGGCCCAAAAGTAACCGGCTTAGGATGCTTGGGTGGACGCTCAGATTCTCAAACTCCGAATGCTTGTCAACCAAGTGTAAATCAAATGCTGAACCAAGTTGATAAAAACCAAAGAGTGTTACGCAAGGCACGTATTAGGTCCAATTTAACCTCGAATATGCCGCCATAAAAACATCTTAAATGACTGTAGTCTAGTGGATAGCAGGCCGGATTTTATGGTGCCAACACCTGATCTCTAAGGTCCCGGGTTGGATCCCCGGCCGGATTAACGTAGAAAAACTTTTCTATATCGTCTGGGGTCCGGGTGCTTATGGTAGTGACGGTATTTCCAATTTCCATAACACAAAGTGTTTTAGTTACTTTAGGATCGAAGCAACGTATATGATGTTGTCTATTTATTAATAACTCTAGGGTTAAGTACAAACTAGAACGGTGTTATTAAAAAAAATGTCATAAGATAATGAAGGCGTTCACAAAGGCCACATAACTGCGTCAGTGGTCGAACGGTCCCTATGCCAGACTGTCGCGCAGAGGTCTCGGGTTCGATTCCCGGACCGGGAGAAATATTTGTATGGCCTAGATCTATTTCTCTCGTGAGTTTGCGTATAATTTGTGATTGTCTATGTGTGCGTCCATGGCACCCGCGATACAGGGTTTCCCTAGTGCGGAGCTATGAGCGAATTAAGATAACTGCAGCAGTAGGTTCGGAAAAAACCAAAAACTTTTACAGTCATTTTAATTTAAAAGAAATAAAATTACACAATTAATTACTAGAGATGTGACAATCGTTGTTTCGATTGAATCGATGTTTGAAACAAAAGTGTGAGACTTAAAAATTACACTGTTCCGGCAAAGCGGGGCATATGCGCTGACGCAGCTTCTGTGGAAGTGTGGAGTCGGCGGCTACCTTTGTATTGCGATACTTTGAACTAGCGTGTGTGCTAGTATTATTGTTATGTGAAGCGAGGAAAAGAGGTGCACGCACCCGTCAAGTAAGTGTGCCAGACGTTGTTCCCCCAGGTGGGCAGCTACGAGCACATGAACGTGGTGTCGCGGCGCGGGGACTCGCCGCCGCCCGCCAACTCGCCGTCGCGGCCGCACCCGCACCCGCACTCGCTGCACCACCCCGCGCACCCCGCCCACCCCGCGCACGCCGCGCACCACATGGCGCCGCACCACAAGTACCACACGGTGAGTCTCCGCTGCCTTCGTCAGTCCGTGGGGTGAACTGCCACGCCTTTAACCGACTGTAAAAAGGAGTATGCATATTACGCGGTAACTCATTTGTGAACCGATTTTATTAACAGGAAATGAAACTATTTTTCAACGGATTTAAATCGCGTGTATTTTGTTTTATCAAACTGAAAAACAACAATACAATACAATACGTTTGAAAAACAAATATACGCGATTTAAATCTGGAAAAATAGTTTCATTTCTTATGTGTAACAATCGCGAAAATCTTAAAACTCGATTTTGATCATTCTTTTTTTTTTGTTGGAAAGAGGGTACCTCAGTATTGGTTGAAGAAAATATTCCACCTCTAAGGTTGGCTAACTAAAGAATGTATCCATTCCGGAAAACTTGTCAAATAGATGTCATTCCACGAACATTTGAAGTCTGTTTTTTTAGTACTCTGTACTGAGATTATTGAAAGTTATATACAACTCTTCTTTTGCAGCTAAATACCACGACCTATTGTATAAGTAATAATTTGTACAAAATTGTTGATTATCGTTATTTTTTCATCTCCACTGGCCTATGTTTCAACCTTAAATTACATTTGATGTGTAATATGAACGATACGACTACTCTATGTCCATTGACATATACTCACTTCCTGATCAACAGCATAAAGACTGGCAAGTTATATTTGGCCGCTCATATCGTAAAAAAAAAATATGTTAGTAACATCGACGACAAAAATCAAGAACAGCGCCACAATTTCAAAGTCCAAAAGCAATATATCATCCTTATACAATACGTAATAAGAGCGGTAGTAGCCTAGTGGAAAAACCAAAAACAATACTGCTCAGTAACAGTGAAGGAAAACATCGTAACCGACACATCGAAGAAGGACTCTTAGAAAAGATAGAAAGTCCCCAACCCACATTGGAGCAGGTAACTGGGGCTGAAACTATAGTTTCCCAAAATGGGAAGTGGATTCTAAGGTAGGAGCCTCGTAAGCAATTGGGGGTATTGTATGCGGTCCAGACCAGGGGGTGCTACTATTATCTAAATGTATAAACTACACTGCAAATATATATTCTTTTTCCTTGTGATTTTTGTGTTAAATTTATATAAAAAAAGACTTGTTGTCAATTATTTTTTATGATTCGAACGCCCTTCGCGTTGAAATTTTTTCATCTAGCCTAAGTGGGGCGATTATCCAAAAAGTTTGGAAACCTATGGCTTAAACCTTCACTTTAGAAAAGACTCGAGCCCAGCAGTGGGATGTACAATTTTGCCGATTATGCTTGCGACATATATACCTACAATACATGAAATTACGGCTACTAGGCACCAGCGGCCATGTCGCCCGCGCACCACTACCGCGCGGCTGCCGCGCCTCCTGCGCCGGAGAGCCTGCCCAACAGCCAGGTCGGTGTTCGACCACCCTGAACACCACACCACATTTTGTGTGCTACCATTCTATGTATCTATTATTGTACGCTCTCACCCCGCATACCAAATCCACCCGTATATTATAGTATCACGTAAGCTAGCAGCCTGAATGTTAAGTATTATGTGCTGCATTACTAACAAGCACGTATATGTATTTACGTATACTTGTGTAATCGTATTAATGTCCATGCTGGTTAGCATACTCCTATCTAGAATGTATACAACTTGTTCCAGCACACTTATCAACAGCATTACGTTTTAGCTTTACGTATTGTAGTCACCATTTCAGCTTCTCCGCTTTAAAGCCGAAATATTGAAATTATATGAGTAACATAAATAATCTAAATAGAATACTACCATTAAAATGCAAAACAAAGTTTATATGTGTAGCTTTTATTATTACATTAGCGTATGCTTTCGTGTCAAAAATACAGATTATCTGTTTGTTTGTTATATTTATAAGTAATTGTAGTAAATACCTAATTGAAATTCACAATTTTCTAACAATTTATAGTGTTTGCGTCCATACATCCTATAATTAATATAGTAGTTTTATAAGCCACATAATGTACTGAAACTTTTAACATTAAATGTTATTAATCCTGTAGAATTAGACTAAAGTTTTATATTATATTATTATATAGACACATACTCCTAAACATAAATTTATAATTAAGGTGATTCACGACTTTCGCCTACTGGATATTAAGCATTATAAAACGCACACTGCTAATTGAAGCTCAGTATGTCGCACTCCCAACTATACATTGACGTAATTCAAAATGTTAAATTTTTGGGAAAGTGACAAAAGTACAGGCCACGAGATGCAAAATAACTTTCCTGCCGAGCGAAACGCACAACTTTTCACCTCAGTATAGAGAAGAAAATAGCAGATGAAAGAAAAACAGTTGAACTGTAACAAATCAATTTTAATAAACAAAGTAACTTATCATAATTTAATGTGAACAATAATAAGAGTAAAATATACCAACGGATTTATATTACATAAATGAGTAATGTACGACAAGTCGCTTATTTGAACGTGTTATTACGCTTTTTTTCATCAAAGAAAAAGTTAGGTGCATCACAGTTCATCGTCAAGTGTGTATGTCATAAATATTTTCCACCCTGACGTGGAAAAACGCTGTTGCGCGCAGATTACTAATGAGAAAGAAAACATTTCCGAGCTAACGAGGTGAAAAATTATTTCATTGATAATTGAAATGAATAGACAAGCCATTTGGCACTTATTTCAATCAACTTATTATTGAATATCGTCGGAAAAATCTCGTTGAAATTATACCTTGTACCGCGCAACTACTTTAGGAACCGACTCTGTTAAGCGGTAGGCTTGTAGTATTTAGTCATATTTGGCTGGTGAGATATTGTTTTTTATCAATGTTGTTAGGTTCCCAAAAGTTTTACAATTCGATTTTCGTCGTATTGCCATGAAGGCGCGATGTATGTACGACGTGAGGTAGAATAACCTCCAGCTGTGGTGAATGTTCAGTTGCAGCTGTGCGAAGACGGCCCGGGCGGGTCAGGCCCGCCCAGCGGGGGCGAGGGGGCGGAGTCGCCGCTGACGGCGCGCTCGCTGCGGCTCGAGCGAGCGGCTCGGGTGCTCCACGCGGAACGCGACCGGCTTCGGACGCATTATCCGGCGCCTTACGACTCGTGAGTTCGACCCTTTTATTATTATTAACAAATTCCTCATTCTCTTCTATTTCTATATGGTATATATTTGGCTAACTTAATCAAGAAAATAATTCTGATACACAAGCCGATTAGCGGTTTTTATTTACGCCTTATCCGAGATGGATAAGGCCTGGGGAGCTGCAATACAGGTGTACACACTCTCTCACAAGGATTACAATGTAAATCTGTTCTTTTGTGTTGCGATACTAAATTATTATTATAAAAATTTTTACTCCCGATAAGAGCGGTGTACCGATGGCCTCCGCCACCTGTGAAAAACAAATTTAAGTTTAAGAATCGTCTGTGTAACGAATATTTTGAAATCGATTACGTATTACCAGTATATCCAGAGTTACACTACTAATTTTTATACATTTCGTGTACTATATGTATCAATTTGAAAAATAAACACATTTTTTCTAATCTATCAAATTGACACAAAAAAATTTGAAAAATTTGTTTTTCGTCTATGAATAATATGTACTCCACTAATAATTACTATAAAACATTATTCTCTTACACGCTGTCCAGGAGTTCAATAATGTCAGGAAGCCTCGCCAGGATTCCCATTCACAGGTGTTCATCCACATCTATCCTAAAACCTAAATCTAGACCTGTTTCTGTTGAAATGAACCTAGCGAATGTGTGGTGCAATTGTCCAGATACCTTATTCAATTATGTTCCGCATAAACTGTGCATGAAATCCAACTTATATACAATAGTAGATAATTATTTATTCCACCATCCTAGTTTGATTACGTCTGCAAGTTATATTTGACGCATCTGTTGCTTTTTGATATCTATTGAAAACTTGTGTAAATCAGTACAAATACTGGTAGACAAAAATACAAGAATCGTTTATTTAATATTTCCAATATCATAATATTACCATTTAGAATACAATGAACAATAATACTTATTACCAGTGGTCGCAAAAGGGTGCTCCAAATGAGTAGATCAATGTCTACACATAGGTACAAGGAGAGACATGAAGGGGTTAATACCATCAAATTTATATTAATAACTTTTTTGGAAAACCCAATTTCCAGAAATCGTTTTACTGCATCATCGAATAAAATTATTCCCTTAGAAAGCTGAAGTTGGGTTTTAAAGTAATTGTAATGGTGTCATGTAATAATGATTATGCAGTAGATAACTAACCCTTCACCAAAATATACTTTTTATGAGCATCAAGCAAAAGCTTGTTTTTATTAATGACCACATTGTAGGTACTTTTAAACTCATGAATTTCAAACCACCGTCCGAGCTTCGTTAATGTTTAAGGTTTTACCACTCTATGTCACTTCTTGTATCTATAATATAGATATTTATCTACTTGTTTGGAACACTATTCCGACCATTTTGAATATCAGTATTTATATTTATCATGTCGATAAATAGTACTTATAACTTAAATAAATACTCTTTCGATCTCTTACAAACTGGACTGTATCTCGGTTGGTAAAAGTGGTGAACCCGGTGTGACAACAGACGCTGGCTCAAGTTCAGTCCAGTTCAATAATAATAACAAACTAGTAGAGTATTTTAATAGTAAAAACCCCATGTTATGATATTAAATAAAATATTTAAAAAATACGTATTGAATATTTACTAAATGTTAAAAAAGCCAATTCTAACATAGTAACAACAAAAATTAAAGTATTATGTGCCATTTGTACGTAGGGCTTTATTTAAATGTGAAATGTTTAAGAGCATTTACTTTGTTTGGAATGAATCTACAATGTTTTTTGTATAATGTATAACACAAACTTGCATTTGTATTTAATAAAGTGGAATTACTAAGGATTGGAGTGTTGTTTTGCATGAAACTTTAAAGAGATGAGATCGCATGGAATGGTATGTTTTGTAATAATGTTTATTGTGTGCCCTTTTCCACTGTAGAATCATACCCTGGCGGCATACCCTAGTTAAAATGATTATCATTAACTATCCTTGCGACTAGTTTGTTGTTTTACCACTTGCATATTATGCGTAATGCTTCAATTATGCTACGTCAACTACAAACATAATTCGTCTTGTTTAATATTTGCTATGGGTCTTTTGTAATTCCATTTTTAGACGACTCCTTTCGCTAATTTCATTTCGGTACTGTTATCCATTTGTATATACTTTTAAGTAAACTTTATTTTACTGTCTGTGATAATGACTGTTAAAATTTACCTTCAACTAGAAGAGATAAGGTAAAAAAATTGTGTGGAATTTAACTAGACTATTGTAAAGTCAACAATTGTACATAGCTCTTAAATAATAGTAATGCAGGTATTACTACGTCAAGTGCGTACATAATCTAAATTGTTGTGTTAATGTTCCAGCTCAAGTCAAGAATCCCTAGGTGGTTTAGCATCAGGGCCGAGTTGGAGCGGCGCAGGAAGCGGGGGCGCTTCACCAGGGCTACCACGGGGGGTGGCAGTTGCTGCTTCAGCCGTGTCAATAGCTTCCATGCATCAGCAGAAGAAGAGAGGTATCAAGAGCTCGCTCGGACGACTATTTAGCAAGAAAGAGAAGGGTGGTTTACCGGTAAGTTACAAATTTTTTATCTAAACATTCAAGATGATTTTGCTATGGTCCTAGTATCGTACCTTGAGGAACGCCTGTTTATTTATCTTTTTCCTTACACAATAATTGACTAATTGGCCCAGGGCTTAGTGGTTAGGATTATCTAGTCTGGGAGGTAATTGGCGTGAGCGTCATGTGATATTAAAAAAATGTTGGACATGTATTATATGATTCACATAATCGAAAGCTTCAGTAAGATCATAGTGGTTATGATTCGTAGATAGTTGTTAGAAAAGTTCCAATGACCACTTCCAGTTACAACAGGGCCAAGCGGGACGGTCGCTGTCGTCGGCGTCGTCTCTCGGTCTGGTGTCCCTTGCGGGCGACGAGACCACGCCCACGCACGACCCGCACGCGCCCGCGCCCGTGCAGCCCGACTACGCGCGCTCCAAGAGCAAGTAAGCGACAGCGTTCAGTGATGGCCATTCTGCCAGAAACAAAAACTTTATACTAAAGGTTGTTTATTATGCACCTTTTACGTGTGTGGATCACAAAAATTTATGATAGTGACCCGTCTAACTTTTTCATGTGTGTGGGTTCTGTCTATGATATGTGTAATAAATATTGTAAATGATAAATGTACACAAATGTCTATTTACTAAGAATCTCCTAGTTATTACTATTCCTATTCTTCTCAGGAGAATCTGCCCCACGAATAAGTAGTAATGTTTAATTAATGTAACGATTTTAAGTGAAATTTCGTTATCTACGAAATAAAGATGTATTTGAAACGAAACCAGTCAATTTGAAAAAAACCGCATTACTTTTCTATCTAAGCCCACACGAAGTGCTGGTGTGCAGAGACCGCGACTACCGCCACGAGCTGCTGGGCGAGGCCATGCGCGCCGGCACGCCCTTCGCGCTGTGGAACGGGCCCACGGTGGTGGCGTGGCTGGAGCTGTGGGTGGGCATGCCCGCCTGGTACGTGGCCGCCTGCCGCGCCAACGTCAAGTCGGGTGCCATCATGTCGGCGCTGTCGGACCAGGAGATCCAGAGGGAGATTGGTCAGTGACTTTTACAGTGTCTTAAAATTTCGTCTCTCTTCTCGCTAACTGCCGTATGTGACATATTGACTCGTGACAGCTTAAGATCGTATACTCGTCTTTTAAATGGAAATATTCTCCATCAATCCTCGTATATTACCATTCTTATGTTGGAACGAAATTGATATAAGCTACGATTCCAAGATTTGAAGCGCTAAACCGGTAGTACTTTTCCCAAAAAATTGCCTAATGCCAATAACGACATCGAGAAGGAAGAAGGGCGGTATGTCGTAGACGGTTTTCATTCTCTGTTATTAAAAAAATCAGCACCGTTTTCAATACAAAATACTTTGTAAAACTTCTTTCACAAGTTTTATTATTTTTAAGTATGAGGACAGTCGGAATTAGATGCTGATACGGTACAGATTTGGTAGTTCTGACCATCCTAATATTAATTTCAGGCATCAGCAACCCTCTCCACCGGCTGAAGCTACGCCTAGCGATCCAGGAAATGGTCTCTTTGACGTCACCATCGGCGCCACGAGGGACAGCCTGCGCCGCGTTGGCGTTTGGAGACATGAACCATGAATGGATCGGGAATGTTTGGTTGCCTTCTTTAGGTTTGCTTCTATTTTTAACTCTTATACAAAAGCAGTAGTAACAGAAAATTATTGTAATATATTACTGAACACACTCGTCCCTGTCCGTGTAAATTCTTACGAATTTGTACTTCAAGACAATACCTTTTTCCACAGGTTTACCACAATACAGAACGACCTTCATGGAGTGTTTGGTGGACGCGAGAATGCTGGAGCATCTCACTAAACGGGACCTCAGAACGCAGCTCAAGATGGTCGACAGTTTTCACAGGTCAGACAGTTGATATAACCGACATGTTTAAGTGTTGGAATTTCTTCATCATTTTTATAAACAACAAAAAGAAGTGGACTCAGTATCGCACCCTGCGGAACGCCACTTTCCAAGCAGAGATTGCGACAGTAATTTGGCTTTGCATTTGCACCCGCGCTGTGGGAGAGCGAGCGCGGGTGTGAATGGCGTGTGCGCGTGCGCAGGACGTCGCTGCACTTCGGCGTGGCGTGCCTCAAGCGCGTGGGCTACTCGGTGCGCGCGCTGGAGGAGCGGCGCCGCGCGGCCGAGCTGGCCAACCGGGACGTGCTGGTCTGGACCAACGAGCGGTTGCAGCGCTGGCTCGTCTCCATCAACCTCAAGGTCGGTGCTTCTCTCGTTCTCGCCCCGCTCTTCCTTCTCGGCATCGTTGTTGTCTGAGGAAATTCAATAGACAGGAGGTGAACTGACCTGCTAATCGTTTGTATTTGCACGCGCAGGAGTTCGCAAACAATCTAGTGGAGAGTGGCGTCCACGGCGCGCTGATCGCGCTCGACGACAACTTTGACGCCAACAGTATGGCGCTCGCGTTGCAGATTCCCACGCAAAACACGCAGGTATGGTCGTCGTTCTTTGGATATCCACCTTCCAACGATGTTACTATGTTTTGTTACTTGTTGTTATATATATAAATCGAGCCACTTCACCTCGGGTGTGTTTTCAGTTTTGTGTTTCGCTGCCCTAAAGTTTCATTGCTTTACTGAAAGAAGACATTTGCGGCTAACCTAACCTAACATTCTCTCGTCAGGTTACCTAAAAGAAATTGCTCCACAGCAATAAAGCCGACTATTGGATATCAACATATTCTGATATACTTGCAGTACTATTATTTGTCGTCATTGTAATTTTTAATGTGCGATATTGACTATTTAATTCATTCCAATACAATATTCATCTTCTGCAGGCGCGCCAAATACTAGAAATGGAGTTCGCCAACTTACTGGCCACGGGGACTGAGCGACCAGCGCGCGGTGGCGGCGTGCACCACGACCAATCCGCCTCCTGACACCACACGCTCAATTAAGCATCCCCGCATACCCGCACCCGGACCGGTTCAACCAATCACCACTCACCTGGACCTAATCACGAGCCAGCACGTGCAATGGTAATAAATGACAGCCAATCGGACACTATGACGTGATATTAGACAGTCAGGATTTAGGAATGGGAAATATTGACAGCAAATCAGAATAATGAATAGAAACAACACATATGAAGAACTAAAGTGCAGTGAAATGATAAAATAACTTCTTACATAGTGTCAACGGTCCACCAATTCTTCGCTGGTTACATTTTATTGGAAATTTCGGGCCGGGATTTTGCAGCAGGTTATTAGTAGATCCATTAGGTTGTTAAGTAATAAGAGATTGACTGGTATGGTAATATGAGAATTTTTCCTATGAATTTGTATAGGTCTTGGCAGAAATTCAATTGATTCCTACTCTATCTCATTGCTGTTCTATTTAGTCATTAGATTTTTAGTATTTCTATACTTTTATTGTTTTTTTTTATTTGGTTTTGTATACTCTCAACGGAGTAGGGTTTTGTTTAATTTCTGCTAAGAAGGTAACGAACTTAGAAAAGCTAGATAGAACCAGTTTGAACTAGTTCAAACAAGTATTGGGCAGAAACCAGCGAGGTTGCGATTGGTTAGTGAAGGCTTAGTCATAGAATTCTAAGTTTATTTATTTTTTAAATTTACATTTATTTTATTATTATTATTTTGGTACAAAATTGTATTGTATTTTTTAGAAGTCCACGGTAATTAAGTTTAGGTATGGAATCTCTAGAGTTAACGCTGGTTTCAATGGTCATCGTTATATAATCTGTGGTTGCACTAAAATATTTTAAAAGTGGCAATACTGAATAACTTAAAACATTTATTTGTAATAGTAATAATCATCGCTATAAATATAATCCCGTTATCACTTGTACGTTGTTTCATAGGTAGACATTTAATCTATTAAATAAAAGTACAAAAACGATACTATAGTTCTTAATACATTCGTTTCCGCTAAAATCAGTGTTGCCAAATTTAAAAACACAAAAAACGTCTGTTGATACAATAAAGTTTCCATTATGTATATTAACTATTATATTTAACACAGTTATAGCGATATTGTGCTTCATAAATAAATACAAAGTGCTCTAATGTAGTAGAATAATGTACTTAACATGTACTCCGATATTTAATACGATATTTAAAGAAATAATAGGTAGCTGTAATGTGGTGTTCTTTAATAAACAAAGGGGAAATAGTTGCGAGTTTAACTCGATTGCCGCTGGAACCGTGCCTTGAAAAAAATTCAAACGTGACAGATAAAAAGTTTGTAGGACATTAATAATGTAATAGGTTATAATAGCAATAATTCTCATTAAAGAACACCATGTTTACAGAAAAGACATTGTCATATTCTGATGCCAAATATTAGTTCCATTAACTAATATATTTATAGACAATATCACAGTTTTTAAGTACGTCGATTTTTTTCAAAATAACGTCTCTATTTTTGTAGAGTTTAGAACATGACAAACGAGGACCGGAACTGCCGCCATTTTGTGATATATACCTTATTTACTCACTTCCATTACGAGTAACAAGGACAAATGTAGTGTTTTACAAAATGGCGAAAATAGTATCTTCCAGTTGTAACAATAAAATTACTATTTAAACTGTGAAATTGACTTTTTAGATTTACGGTGTTGAGAAAAACAGTTTTCGGAGATTTAAATCGAATATTTCCCTGGGGGACCTTGCTAACAATTTTAACTATAATGATGTAAAAGGGATAGGTACACTCAGTGATAAAAGTGGGTATAACTAGATAAACATCACCAATCCGACCCTTTCCTATATACCAAACTTTTTTCATCTGTTATTCCACATCTTAGTAAATTAAAACATTTCATTTTGTCTGTAACTGCAGTTAGAATATTAATCAGAGAATTATGACTGTATAATAATTTTATCACAAACGTACTTCAAATTGTTGAAAATAATATAACCTTTGTGGTAGTTGAACATTAGATACCTATCTAAAAACTGTTTACAAAGTGCCTCGCTGAGGTATGTACATATAGCTTTACATAGATAAATGTGTGCCTCTCGGTTCGTATAGCTATACAAAGTACTTTATCAGAATAACCAATGTTAAAATTGTCAATATAATACTGTATCTTGTGCTATCCTACTTATGACTTATTTTTGCGTGGTTTTATAATTATAATTTTAAAATCGGGAGCACACAACGACTAGTCTTATGTACAGTGTTAACGATTGTTTTGTAATCTTCTATTTTATTAACGTTAGGTTGGCAATGGAGATTTAGCTAGGTACCTATATTTTTGTTAAGCGTTTTATAAATATACTAACATGTGGGTAGTTTCATTTCTTTGTACTTCTGATGACGTATGCATGTGTAAATGCAATATAGAAAATTATATGGTAATCAAAACATAAGGTAAACTGAATATAATACTTACCCAACTTGTCCCATCACTATCGTTACATACGTCATCTAAAAGTACCCTCAAGTAATAAAATTATAAAAACGTTGTATATGTATAACTATACAGTTTAGTTTGTGGAATCTATCAGTAGTATATACATATATTGTAAATATGGTTTTGTAACGTTTCTATTGGTTAGATTCAAGTAGCAATATCTAGCTAGGATGTGTTCATATAATATAACTTGCGTTTATATCGTAATGCTTTATTTATTAACTACATCATTATTAATTTATTAAGTTGATTTTAAGTTTTAATTGTGTATTAGCATCACTACGAAGCTATAAGGGAACCAGTGTTATAAATATATAAACCAGTGTTTCTGTTGAAATAATTGCGAATTATCTAAGACAGACGTTCTAAAAAACGTGTTCTCCTTAAGAATACATTTTCTGTACTGTTACTTTGGTTTGCGAAAACATATAACAAATTTCATCAATTAGAACAATTTGATATGAGAAGTCGTGTTAATTTCACATTTCTTGAACCCAGGTCCTTTGTTTTGATAGAAATGGTCCTTCAGCTGCATCAAGGTATGTCAATGCTAGTTTTACTTTTATGTGACGAAATTCGCACGAGTGCTCAATTTTATAAATATGTAAAACTATTTTCTATAACCAAGGGCGTACACATACGACGTTCGAGCGATTGAGTAATTGGCTGCTAGAGATATTGGTGTCTCTATGATAATTTTATTTGCCATAACATGCGAGTATGACCATGACAAACAAAATCTGGTTACGTATCCTTTTGCGCTTTCTACGTCATCCATAGGAAGATACCGTTTAGACACTCGTAGCATCGTGTTAAGTGCCGAAACGGGTGCATACGCCCCATAGTTAATTTGTTGTTTTTGCCTAAACGACTAGTCTATTTTTCCTGATAACAGATTATGAAAATGTATTACCTCATAATCGTGTATATTGCGGTTGTCTATGAAATCACAATGTTTTAAGCGTGAAGGTGGAACGGCTGCTATACTTTATATTAGGAATTCAATAGGTAACGATGTATAGTATATGAAATAACAGTATTAATAAAATTTAGGAGACGTGTGGCCACCTGTGTGAATATATTTCGTATTGTAGCTTACTATGAAAATTGGTCACGCTTATGCCTCTTGAAATTGTACCCTGTAAATTTCATATTGAATGGGAATTTGTGTAATCTTAAAAAATTTACATTCAGGCAAATTGTATAATTAATATCGAAGAAGAGAGCATTGGATTGCAGAGTATATGTGATCGTACCCAGTGCTAGTAGTTCTTAGGCCGCTAGACGCGCATGTAACGCCGTGTTACGGCGCCAATATCATTCATACACATCAACTTGTTTCATTATCAACTATATAATTATATTATTATATGAGAAAACTACATAAAGTTTTATAAATGCAAGTATAATATGTTTACAAGCTGGTTATTTAGTTACTTGTTAGTATATAGCTTGAATGTAGCTACGTTTTGTATAAAGTGGTACTGGAGTAGTAGCGGTATTGCCGCCGTGACATAACCCACATACCTACTCTGTACTAGTGTAGATAGCCGATCGTCCGATATTTAGCGAGATCCTTCTCTAACGAGCGTGTAAACTGATGAGAAGTGGAGCTATGTCGAAGGCGCGAGAAAGACATGTTGCTCTCTCGCTCATTCACATAATCCCATGTTTCTTATGGTGCATTTACACCAAGTCGTCAGGCGACCCGGTGTAAATGCGCCATAAATCTACAAACATGCGGGATAGTAAAAGAGCCTTTGTACTCCATCCTCGCTTAAGCTTCACAAGTGAAGTGCTTAGTAAATTGGACAGTTAGCAACGTGTAGTCGGTGACCTCCTAAAGTGCCAATGCGTTCCGAGCCTCTCCTAAGGTCGGGCGCAAGCGGAACGGGCGAGCCGCGAACAATAACTAGAATAATTTTGTACTCCGTAACATTCCAGCGCACACTTCATGCCCTATGGTTCGAACAAAACTATTTTTACACGACGGTCCCAGTGGCTCGCGCTACCAAAGAGTAAACTACTAAAGTTACCTTCACGTTAAGAAATTAATGTATAATAGTTTAGTGAAATTGAAATTGTATATAATTTTGCATATGTGTTGCATAGCTTCGTCTAGTGAGGGAAATATTATTGAGATCGGTGCCGCCGTTGTCCTATTCATTGGTCCCTGTATAACCGGCAAAACATTCCAGCTTTCAATACACAAGTATTCTGAACTAATCAGTACAATAGACTCATAGAACATAAGTACAGGGGCATGTGTAATGTCTGAACAACGTTGTTTACCTAGACAGTGATTATTTTGACCAATGTAATCTGAACACTGTGTAACCTTTGTAAAAATATTTATCACAAGTGCGTACGACATACGTTATGCATAATGATAACAGGTAAATACAATTTACACGATATAATGATGTTTTATTTATTTATATCTTGCTACCTAGAGGTTGTAGTAAAAAAGGCCAAAGGCAAAAAATAAAATACACAAGGTAAACAAATACAAAAGGTAAAGGCAAAAAATAAAATACAGCCTTGCAAGAGAGACTCTAGTTTATATTAATCTTAACAACTATCACATCTGTGGCTTTCTTTTATTTCCCATCTTACTTAAGTGTCTGCAAATTTTCTTCTTCAGCTCTTTCTGTCGTTTGATCTTACGCCATTCCTCTTCTTCTAATTGTTTCTTGTGTGTCTGCAATCTCTGCGCAGTTTGTTCTTTCTGCACTTCTTTTTTCTTTTCATAGTTTGTTTTTATCATTTTCATAACACTCGACACTTTATGTTCATATGGACTCTTGACGACAGCTACCCTGTTTTTGAATTTTTCGTTAGAATCCTTCCCTGACAATGTCGTAGACTTCTCTTTTGGCTTAAACTTGTAAGGCAGTCCCTTCTGCAAAGCTTTGGGGATTACCAACGGTTTGAAAACTTTAGGTTTCCTTTGTACTTCTGTGTACATGGAATCAGAATTTGCATCATTCTTAATGCTGCGTTCTCGCTTTAATTGACCTTTAGTTTTCATCCCTTGCCAAGCATTCTTAGCACCTATAGGCAATAATAAATTGACAACAGGCGCGTAGAACCTAGTAACATCTACTTTGAACCATGTGCGACAGAAAATAATATCACTCATTAGTATTTTGTCTTCAAATGTGGCTCTGAATGCCCCTTCAGGCTTATTCAATGCTTTCTTAATTTGACCTCTTATCCCAGACACTGTTTTTATCCTAGCTCCTTCAAACTTCGCCACTTCAAGAGTGCTTGTGAACATGTCTTTGATGAAAGCAGTTTTCTTGTAGATCTTTAATGGAGTACCAACTAATTTTAGTTTCTTGACGATTTGTGTTGATTTATTAATTTCATTGACACTGCCAGTTGCCGCTATTCTGAAACCTATATTTTTTATTTCATTGCTATTGTTGTTTACTGTTTGAAGAGCCAAAAATCCAGTGTTCTGTGGTGTTATTGGGCCATAGAAACTCATGTTACAGGTGACATGTTCTGGAGTGTACTTAAGATATCGATACTTCAAGTCATCTTCAATTTTCGAGTAGATTGGTAAAGTTTGGAAGCGTCGCCAACCCAGCGAAATTATAAGTGGATCATTGGTCTTCAAGATTTTCTTATACCATCTGTGTTTCTTTACTTTACAGGATACAAAACCTATATTCTGTTCTGCCATATTGAGTGCTCCAATTAAAATTGGGTAACTTGGTTCCATGTTTGTTACAAACTCTGCTGGCATGCCTTTAAATAACATTCTAACATACAGTCCAGGCCTAAAACCTTCGACTTCTATTCTCAAGCCATTATCTAAGTTATCAAAGACAGACTTGTTCAATTCAGACTGTTTTAAAGCTTCAGCTTTTAAAGCTTCATAGTAAGAATGATCGCCTTTGATTCTATGGTCATCTGGATTATCATATTCTGCGTCAAACTTTGCTTTTAGTTTCATTTTTTTTTCTAGGATTTCAGCTTTTGTTGGCTCAGCTTTTCGTTTTGTCGCTTCTTTCTCAAATTTTTCTTCTGCTTTATGTTTCTCTCCTGTTTCCAAGTCTTCGAAGTCTCCATACAGTTCTTCATCGTCAATGTCATCAAGTTTCAGAAGTTGCTCTGCATCTTCATCAGCTGATCTCTTTCCAGTCACAAAACAATTGATTAGATACTGTTTATTCTCGTCAATAGTCCAGTTTCTTAGATTCGGTTTATTTAAAGCATAGAAAAACGAACATTCATCAAGGTCCAATTGTTGTTTTTCTTTCTGTTTCTTCTTTTGTGTATCTGTGACTTTTTTGAACAATCCTCCAATCTCTTCATCCCCACTGTCATCTGAAGAATCCACTTTTTTTTCTCTTGTTTTATTTCCTATATCAAACTCTCCATAAACAAGTTTCATTATGTTTTTAGAAGTCTTTTGCCTTTCCAAATAGGCTACAGTTGCTTTTTCCCCCAACTTTTCCTTCCATTTGACACTGAAATCTTCATCATCAGAATCACTTTCTGAAGCTTGATCATCTGGACTTTCATCACCAGCTTCCCGACCACCTTTATCTTCATCTACATCAGATTCAACATTATCCCAAGGTAGTTTTGAGGCCTTCTCTACATCTTTCTCACTCTGGTCGATTCCACTATCGTTGTCTGAATCATCCTCTTCCCCTGAGTCATCTGAGCTTTCTTGTCCTTTTTTATTCAGTTGTAAATACTCATCATCTTTGACCATGTCAGGATAGATAACAGCTCCACCACTGAATAGTTTGAAACCAGATTCTTGCATCTGTTCATCAAGAGTCTCCACAGTTTCAGATACATTTTTTAACAATGCCTTTTTTTCATTAGTTTCCTCATCTTCTTGTTTATGTGAGTGAGAACCCTTTAGTTCTATATACACTGCATCCTTGTCATATACAATGCCGCCGACGCCAGAGAATGGCGCATATATTTGTCTCTCGCGCTCTAAGAGGTGGCGTTTCTTTTCTCTGCTTGGCATGGGACATGGGTCTGGCAGGTATGAGAGCTCGCTAATTTTCATGTCTCCAACACCTGAAATTGGTTGCATTGAATTATAAAACCCATATTTTTGTGTCAATCATTTCTTAAGAGGTTTTTAAATTGGTAGTAGCTTGTAAAATTTGTTTGAAATCTATATTTCTAGTTTGTTTAACTCTTATTTTGAGGAAGTTAATTGGCCGTCCATAAGAACCGGGAAAAAGTCAGTCTCAGTCTCGAAACATTAAGGATAAAGTTAAACTACATCTATGACAATCTATGACATCTATGACTAAATCTACTATATTTACGCGCGCGCAAAGAACTTCGGTAAAATATCTGTGCAATTTGTGCACATCTGGCAGTATGCCATTGAGAACAAAATCACTACAGGGGTACTCCAAGACTACAAAAACTCACCAGCAATATGTACCATAGCCTCCTTCATCAAAGGCACGCCTCTAACATAGCCATACAGCACCACATCTCTATTGACCTTAGGGTCTTTCCTGATAGTCTCCTGGCTAGTCAAATCTTCCAATCTATCTGCCAATACATAAGCGTGAGTAGTCCGCCAACTCAATGCTCTGAATTTCATTACAGAAATAAATCTACAAAGATTCTTTATCTCATTTCTTAAATACTCTCCATGAATGATACCAGACAGATAAAATAATTTGGCTCCAGGATAAACTTCAGTCCAAAAGCGATGTTTCAAGGTTTTCTTTATCTGTTTTAAAGTTTTTGCATTCTTAATCATGTCAAGGTGAGTAAGTACACCCATGATTTTAGGCATGCCATGCACCTGGCATATGTTGAGGAACTCGAATATCTCCATTTCGAAGCCGAAGCTCGCGTCGCAAAGTAACAGGACGAGGTCGGCACATTTAGCGATGTCAATCATAGAGTTAATATCATTATTGCATTCAATTATGGTTATTCGCCTCTTCTTTGAAGTGACCACTGTTATAGGGCCGTTAGTGCTTGTCACGTTTGTTTTTATAAAGCTCTTGATTAGGTTATTGATAAGAGTAGTCTTGCCGACTCGCGGTGGCCCCACTACTGCAACAACTATAGGTGGCGGCTCTAGTGGAGTTTTATCCACTTGAGGTATGTGCTGCTTTTTCGCAATGACATCTTCTCGCCTCCGGAACTGTCTTTCAGCTCTCACAGCTGATTGTATAGCAAATGCTTTAGGATTACGTTGCCGAGCAGTTAGGTTAGACTGGTCAATTTGATGTTTTTTTTTCTTCTTTTCCGCTTTACGGCCAGCGTGTTTCGCTCGATGAGCTTTCTTCTTATCGAATGCGCTTTCATCCGCCATTTTTACACTGTTTTTATGTCTAATTAAAAGTTTTGTGTGAAAAATCTTTAAATTAAATTCACGTGCTGATCTCTCGTTTGACGTTTCATTAGATTTTTTTTTAAATTTATTAAGGCTTTGGCAAAGCCATCAGCCTAAACATGAAGTTTAGTTATGTTTGTGTAAATATGGCCGCCACAAAGAGGATAGGCAATTTGAGGCGGCGTGCTTGGATTGACTCGGGATTCCTTAGAACGGGCCGATACGGGTATTTTAGTTCGAGATTCGTATAATTTCGCGTTTTAATCTTCGATTAAGGCATGAAAGAAAACACTCACGCCCGAGAAGTAATTATTAAATATTTTATTCAAAAATCTTATACATTTTATATTGGTTCCACATTTTGAAAATGATAGGAGTCAAAGTATTTCCTTTTTTTTACCCGACTCCACATACACGCAGGTATTCTCAAATGAGGTTTCATTACCTCTAACACCCCCTCTTAATGAAAACTTAATTAATAAATGTAAGGGGGGGACCTCTTACTTATAAACAAAACTGAACTCAACACAGCCCTAGCATTATTCTAAATTTTTTCAAAAAGCATTCTGTCAAGAGGTTTTGTAAAGATATCGGCTAACTGTTCCTTGCTATCAATGTACCTCAAAACGACAGCTCCTTTATGTACTTGTTCTCGGATATAATTGTGCCTAATATCTATGTGCTTAAGACGCTTTGAATCTAAACTCTCAGCTATTTTAATTGCACCCTGATTATCCTCGTACAAAATTGTGCTAGGCATTTTATCATACAAGAATGTATCTTCTAACATTTTACATAACCACGCAGCTTGAGTACAAGCTTGACTGAGTGCCATGTACTCAGCCTCAGTAGACGATAAAGCTACACACTGTTGCTTTTTAGAAAGCCAGCTTACAGTACACCCAAAAACTTTAAATACGTAACCAGTTGTAGACTTACGGTCTAGCAGGTCACCTGCCCAATCTGAATCTACATAACCTTCAATAAAAGAATCAGAATATTTTTTATGAAATATTAACCCTAACTCCATAGTTCCTTTTAAATAACGTAAAACTCTTTTAATAGCTGTCCATAATTCTTCAGAAGCGCAAGATTGGTAACGACTCAGTATTGACATACTATTAGCTAAATCTGGTCTCGTGGCTAACATACAATACATAATTGCACCGATAGCTTTTCTACATTTAATTTCGATGGCTTCGTTTTCAGACATATGTAATTTCAGTAAACTGTGTTTTACACTTTGGTCCATCGGTGTGGACACCGGCTTACACTCATGCATGTTAAATTTCCGTAATAATCCTGCGATATATTCTGTTTGGCTTAAAACTGTATGGTCACCGTTCTGTAACACATTTATGCCAAGATAGCACTTAGCAATACCTAGATCTTTAACTTTAAAACATTTCTGTAAATAGTTCTTTATATTGAGCAATTCATTATTGTCTGTCGACATAATTAGGAAATCATCGACGTACACCAGGAAATAAGTTTTAATACTGTTACTCACTTTATAATAAAAACAATAATCATTTTTACTGGCTGTAAAACCATATTTTCTTAAAGTGTCATCTAATGTGTCATACCAATACTTAGGCGACTTTTTAAGACCGTACAGAGCTCGATTTAATTTACATACTTTATCACTTTCTATATTAAAATTCACAGGCAAACTCACATACACAAGTTCATTTATCTTACCATTAAGGAAAGCCGTACAGACGTCCATTTGATGCTGTTTAATTCCCAATTTCACACTTATTGCAACAAACATTCTGAAAGTTGTGAGCTGTGCGACCGGCGAGTAAACTTCGGATGCCGATACAAATTCTTTTTGTTTGAAACCACGAGCTACTAAACGCGCCTTAAAAAACTTATTTCCGTCTTCGCCTTTCTTTATTTTAAAAAGCCATTTGGTATCAACTGGCTTGCAATCAGCCGGCTTGGGAACAACAGTCCACGTGTTATTCTCCGCAAGGGATGATATTTCCTTCTCCATTGCATCAATCCACTTATCAGCTTCATTGCCGTTAATTGCTTCTTCATAAGACTTAGGTTCAAATACTTCGGCAAAATGAAGTACACTATACATTTCTGAGTCTTCATATCTTTGTGGTGGTCGAATCTTACTACGATCTCTCAATCTCCTTTGTTCGCTTTGTTGACTTTGCTCGATATCAATTGTTTCTACAGATTCTTCGTTGGTAACTGTTTCGAGTTGACTATTATTTATTCTTGTTTCCATCCTTTCAACCTCTACTTCTTTTTCATTTTCCTCAATTTCACAATTATTACTATCAGTAGAGTCAATTACGCGTGAACTCGGCCGTTCCGTCTTTGTTTCTTCGATATCTGTATTTGACAGCAAAATTATATCCCTGGTCAAAATAACATCGTCTTTTTCAGGAACATAGACACGATATCCTTTTACATTTTCTTCATATCCCACAAATATTCCAATCGCGTTCTTATCGTCCCACTTCTTACGAATTTCCTTCGGAATGTGAAAAGAAACACGATTGCCAAAAACTTGAAAAGTATTAAAATCAACTGATTTGTTTGTCCAAAGTTCAAACGGTGTTTTTTTTCTTTACGGGACTTGGGCCAGTTCTATTTAGTACATAAATGGCTGTATTCACAGCTTCTGCCCAAAATCTCTTGGTCATTGACTTTGCTTTCAACATTGTTCTGGCAGCTTCTACAATTGTGCGCATTTCCCGTTCAGCCCTACCGTTTTGTTGAGGCGTGTACCTTATAGAGTTTTGATGTACGATTCCATATTTATTCAACATTTTACATACCTCATTGTTGACAAATTCTGTTCCGTTATCCGTCCTTAATATTTTTAATTTGTATCCAGTCTGTTTTTCTACTAGAGCAATAAAATTGTCAATGCAGTTTTTAACTTCGTACTTGTTTTTGATGAAATATACTTTTCTGAAATTACTGTAATCATCTTTGAACAGAAGAAAATATTTAGAACCACCAATAGATGAAACTTCCATAGGACCGCAGAGGTCGGCATGTACTAACTCACACGGAGAATTTGCACGATTTTCACTACGTATAAAGATATCTCTATGTTGTTTACCAGCACAGCAACTTTCACAAACAGCAATTGAAATATTTTTGTAAATTACACCGTGCTCTGACAGTACATTTTTGATTTGTGTCAAATTTTGATGTGCTAGTCTGTCATGCCAGTCAATCAAATCAAGAACAACATTACTTGAAGGAGGTTGGTTATACAAACGAAAAATCATTTTAAACAGATTTCCATTTCGCTCAGCAATAGCCTTAACAGACCCTTCAGAATCTATTATTTTACACAATTTACTATCAATAATTGTACTGTACCCTTTATCTACAGCTCTACTTACTGAGAATAAGTTTACCTTTAAATCCGGCACATACAAAACATTTGATATAGTGGTTTCTATCCACTGGTTACCATTGTAAGCTTCTAACCTAATACACCCAATACCTTTTATCGACAGCATTGATCCGTCGCCTATTTTAACAGTTTTATTCTTTTCTGTAGTTAATTCAATGAACATGTCCTTGTCTTTACACATATGTTCTGATGCTCCAGAGTCCATAAACCACTCAACTAGGTTGTTATCCGTTGTTCCAACAAATGCGTTAGCTGCTTGACAGTTATATGTGCATCCGTGTTCTTTGTCACGACCTCGGTTGCCTCCTCTATTTGCAAACTTGTGTAAGTTGAATCTACATTCATTCGCAAAGTGGCCAAACTTTCCACAATAATGGCATTTTATGCCCGCTTTGCAATACCTTGTTTCATGACCGGATCGGTTGCATTTTTGGCAAGTAACGGAAACTCTATATTTACGTGATTGCAAAGGATGAGATCGCATTGCTAACGCTTGCATTGGCACGTTTTCTTTTAATCTGTGCTCTTCAAGCAGCAGTCTAGACGTGAGTTCATTCAAAGTTTGATATTCTCGGGGTACTGATTCCCATGCAGTGACAAAATGATTGTAGACCGCAGGTAGTGACGTTATTATTTTTGTTATCATCATAGTCTCAGATATATTTTCTTTGTTTTCTGCAAGTTTGTTACGTATTTCCTCGAGCTTTGCGACAAACATACATATACCTTCTTCTTCATATTTGATAGAGAAAAATTTCTGCTGTAGTAAATGAGTATCTATATTCGTTTTAGGCTCAAAAACAGATTTCAATTTTGTAAACATTTGGTATGCCGTTTTGCATGATAGGACCAAGTTCATAGTTCCCTCCTCTAATCTATTTATAATGATTTCTTGTGCTTTTGCATCTTTGTCGAGAAACTTTTCATCCGGATTGTCATTTTCTTTTTCAATATTAGAATATAGTTGCTTAGCTTTTAACAATATTTCGATTTGAAATTTCCAGACCACAAAATTAGAGCCATTAGTTCTAAGTTTCACATTGCAGGACTCCATTTTGAATTTTCTTCTTCTTCTTCTTCTTACCTTCTCGTATTTCAAAATTTCAACCGCTTAGTTACGTTATTTATTTATTTATTAGTGCCTTCTTATAGCCCATAACCTGAAAGAAAACACTCACGCCCGAGAAGTAATTATTAAATATTTTATTCAAAAATCTTATACATTTTATATTGGTTCCACATTTTGAAAATGATAGGAGTCAAAGTATTTCCTTTTTTTTACCCGACTCCACATACACGCAGGTATTCTCAAATGAGGTTTCATTACCTCTAACAAGGCACAATAGCACTATCCTATTCCACTTTAAACTAGATTTCACAAAATAATTGGAAGTCAAAATAAAAACGACACTTTTCCCTCCAAAAGGTCCTGAGCGAATCACGCAAAGAGTACATGGTATATCTAGGTATCACGTTTCATTAGATATTGGTAGTTGGCACAAACTAATCGACGAAAATATTTTCAAGTGATTCCATTTTTAGTTACTTTTTCATAGAGTTGACTCTATATTAGCGTTGGTCATGGAAAAATTTCCAGTTTGAAAAAAAATGTTTTTCAGAAACATAAATGTTTTTCCCGTGTTTTTCCTGATATTTTTCTTAGAGGATGGAAAAAAGTTTCCAAAGTATAAGATACTTTTCTATATTGACGTTGAAACCTGTCAAAAGTTGAAGTTATTGAACGAAAACGATGGAGCCACTAAAAAGATATTTTTATTATTTTGTTTTTCGATTATGTGAAATCATTAATATTTAATCTAATAAAATAATATTGAAATGATTAATCTCGTTTTTCTCTAAGGGTCGTATTCTAGAACTCTACCCAATGCTCAAGTCAGGATTTGAGTATGGTTTAAAGCACTCGAAATCATACTCAAGTCCCTGCCATTAGGGTCGTATTTCCAGTGCTTGTGTTGCCAGTGCAATCCTGACTTGAGCATTGAATAGAGTTCTAGAATACGACCCTAAGGGTCGCATTACAGATCTCCACTCAATGCTCAAGTAAGGACTTGATATGATTTCAAGCACTGGAAATCATACTCAAGTCCTTGCCATTAGGGTCGTATTTCCAGGGCTTGAAATCATACTCAAGTCCTGACTTGAGCATTGAGTAGAGCTCTGGAATACGACCCTTAGAGAAAAACGAGATTAATCATTTCAATATTATGTGTGACAATAATTGTCACAAAATAATAAATAGCAAACATTGTAAAATATATTTGCTTTAAACAAAATTTCAGATGTTGTGAATGAAAAACTTTAGACACACATATTGTCCAAGTTCCACGGCCTTATGAGCTCGTTGTTTTGTGGGAATAGGAATAGTAGGTATGAATGGTTAACTTTTTTTAAAAAGAATCCCATCAGCCTAATTGTAATTTCTGAGTGCTACTAACATGAAATGTTAAAGTAAAAATACTATTTTATGGAAATATTAGATTTTTTGTAACTTACGCTTACATTTTGGAAAAGCGACAATGCTTAATAAATAGCGTACATTTCTTTTAATATCACGTTATACAATTTATAATAACTATTTAATAGAATTATTATTTTTTTAATTTTAATATGTTTTGGTATTTTTAAGTATAAGAATCTTAGAGCATAAAGGACAGGAGACGCCGTCAATAGGCAATCCTATCTGTTAAAGTACAAGCACAAATGCGTCACCGCAAACTAAAACTACTTTTAAATCGATTTTTTTTCCATTTCCATTATCAAATTCGAATGTAAAGTATGGGGGGCCACCACTTGTGTATCGCAACCCGCGCGCTTAAAATTAATGTGAATAAAATAAGAACATAAACTTTTACACTTATACGTCGACAAGCGTCCGATTGTGACTGACGGGGCAGCGGGCGTCGCGGCGTGTTGTTGAACAGCTGAACAATATTCAAATTTATTATAAATATGAATTTAATAACTATAGCTGCAGTCAAAATCAAAATTTAGCAGGTTCTTAAGTAGGTTCTTAAAGAGAAGAGCTCCACATAAAAATTATGTGCCAACTTAGACATTAAATAATTTGATTTAGATTCTTATTTTAGTCTGTTTTCAGGATTTTATATGATCCAGGTCATTTGTTTAAAAGATCTTTGCATCAGGTAAAGCAGGTATATACATCTTGTCGTCAAATTAGCATAAATTCTTTAGACAAATCCTTGTATAACATATAATAAGGATGATTATTAACATAAGGATGATTATAAGACAAAACGCTCCAAGAATCCGTTCAGATATTGCTTTTGAGTGCACCTTTTGGCTTATAGCACTTTCCCGCTTTTCAAAAAATGGCGGAAAGTTTTGTTTGAGAAATAACACATAGAGCGTCTCCCGCCTTGTATGTCCCAAGATAATAATCGAAGAACTTGGAAGTAAGTTGTCTCCAAAACCATACTAAATTGGCATACGGGAGTTTTCGTCCTACCCTACATTTCAAATATTAAAATATGTCACTAGAAATCAGTGACTTACAACAAACACTAGAAATGTCCGATCTGAAGGTTGTATTTCGAAATATAGTGGACCAGAAAAAGCTATATTATGGCCAATGATCTTACAATATGGCCATGAAATAAGAATGAAAAAGTTGCGATACGTTTCGCATCGATTCATACCAAAATGTTCTTCCCACGGATTTCTGATCGCGTTAATGAGTAGTGAGTGACTGTGGTGACTCCCTAACCCTAATACAGACGATATGTTCCAATGTGTGTTTAACATCTGTTGAACTGATTCACTATTACTGTTTTATTTATGTTGATATTGGTAACACCTTGAACAGCTGTCACTTAATAATGTCTACACAAATCAATCTCGCTTATATTTTTGTGTAAAAAAATCCATTATTTGGATGATGAAAGCAAAAAACACAGAATCTAGTAATAGGTCGCGAGTGGCTGAAACTGGCGTGAACTGAGCACCGCCGCTGCTATGAGCACCTCGGGACTAGACAGCCGAAACATTGCAATTTCCATGTTAGTGTGACAATGTTTTGTGCATAATTACTAATTATAGAGAGATTGCGTCTTTATATTTACGTGTTTACTGCGCATTTAATGTGTTTGCTTTGTGTGTTCCTGGCTTAATGTTGTGGTGTGGTGGTGAATGTAGTTTTTACGTATGTAAACCTAGAGGGGACCAGTGTGCCGTATATTGATTCAAGGGTCATTGATCTTCAAGATCAAAGGTTTCATCTGGCGGGAACGGGAGAGTGGAGTGGTTATTTTCTTTAATAATGCGTGACGGTATACTGAATCACATTAACTGTGGTGCTAGCTCATCCATATGCAATGTCAGTGCTCTTGTTTGGCTAACGAGACCATAAATTTCGACGGCCTTGAGTACGAAAGCAATTGAACCGTAAATGGTTTTGTTTATTTTTGTGCAGCCTTTGTAATATTTGTATATTGCCATGAATATTTTTTTTACTTTGTAGGATTGGGGAAATGGTTATAGTGAAAATTTTTGAGTTGCCATACCTAATGATAGTTTTCATTTATTTATTTCTTCCTATATTAGTTCAGTTTAATTTGTGTTACAACATTATAAATAACTTGTGGTGTATTGGTGAAGTAAACCTGCACTGTGGTTAATCTTTTTAAATAACGTTAATTTTAGTGGAGATCTGAGTCCTGCAGCGAGATTTAAGCTTGTTTCACCTTGTTGAAGTTTTGTCATTTCTCAATTTTTTTAATCTTTATTTGTTTAAAGAGGCTTTTACAAATCAACTCATCATATTGGCCTTTTTATTCTTTTTAAACATTACTTGGCTTAATTACCTCCTGCCAGTTCTTTAGTTAAAGAATTGTCATATAAAATTTAATGAAATATTTTCGCTCCTACTAAAAGGTAAACACTTTGGCTATCTCCAACCAAATATTCCTCGCAAACCTTGGTTCTTCCGCTTTAAACACATACCTAAACCCTATTCATCAATGATTATCCGGCTGAGACTGGGTCACGTTTGCTCCCCGGTTTTCCTAGCCAAAATTAAAGTACGTGATCACTCCCTCTGCGAATGTGGACTAGAGGAAGGCACTCTAGAACACTTATTTTTTAACTGCCACCTAATAAGCTTCCCACCTTACGATTTGCTTCCCGAAAATATTCCTCACCCAATAAATATCAACTATTTCCTAGCCAACGCACACTCTCCACTAGTATTCCCTTTATACAAATTTCTAAAACTTAATAACATAAATCTGTAACCAGCCCCGAATAGCCTCTGCTCGACCACATTCATTTCATAATTTACTGCCCCAACAATGTGAGTCGGAGAAAAATTCTCATTTCTGATCAGTCTTCATTTTTAAGAAAAATGAATATTCTTTATTCTTCCCGTATTCTCCCATTATATTTCGTATAATTTTATTTCTTTCTCCATCCTCCATGATAATTTTCCACGCTGACACCGGTCAAAAGTTTGTTACTGAACGAAAACGACGCCTAACTTTGTTTTACTAAACGATTTTATTTTTTAATTCCCGCTAAATAAAACTTCCTACAATGTTTCTAAAAGAAAGAAAAAAACATGAGCTCTCAAATTATATTTTTGTAATGTCATTAAAATATATATATAACTGTCATTGTGAATAAAAACCGCCGAAGTATTTTAATAACCGGCAATCTATCTCACCACCGCTACACATGTCTCTCAACCCTGACATTGGCAAAATCGTCGCGCAAAACGACGGAGCCATAGACACAAAAGTTGAAGTTGAAGTTGAAGTTATTGTGCAGAAAAAAAAACTACTTGTAGCATTAGTAACATTGTTGTCATACATTTTAAGCAACACTAAAAATTTGACCTTTAGATTTGAATTCATTATTTTGATGCACATAGTACAATGAGTTCACTAGTTTGAAATTTTATGTGATTATCAGGCACAAATTATAAGTTTGATTTGAAGCTGTAAATTATGTGACAAGGGATATGTTTGTCACAACCCTTAAGTCACATAATGAATAATGTCTTTCCAGGAGAAAATCAGTTGAGAACCTGGTAATATCATCTCAAGATGCTATCGGACAGAGCATCAGCCAGGCTCTCACCTTCTCTGGTGCAATCACGCAGCATGCCAACCAGATTGTACAGGATACCAAGTGAGTGCATACCCACCATCTTATATGTGATATGAGTGGTGTCACTAGTGTATGCAGTGTTCAAAGTAACTGACAATTTATATTTTCAATGTAAGAATTAATTCCATTTCTATGTCATATAGTCATATCACAGATATTTTGGTGGCATTTTAGTTAAGATGTCATCAGGCCTGTACCATTATAGCCCAAGATTTGTGGGACTTCAGAGGTCAAGTGCAAATACTTGGTGCAAAAAACAATTGAAATTAGCACCAGAAAATCTCGAAATTGGCTCAAATTTTACCCACACTTTTTGTTTTGTATGTAGTTTGGCAGAATTTTTTATCCAAACAATGTTTAGAAATTAATAATAATAATAATGCGAACACACACATAGTCTTGGGAAACCCTGTGTCGCGGGCAAATTACACCCAAAGTTACGAGAGAAATCTGTATTTGTAATCTGTAAAAAAAATATGTACCTATCATATTTTGAGAATAATTTTTTTGTATTATTTAAATTAAATTTGTGGATTTTGGATATAATTTCACCTAATCCATTTCGAAAATGTATTGCACGTTTAAGTCAATACCGTCACTAAACGAAAATCTCACATTTACAAAATTAAAATTGTTTTCAGGAAATTTAATGACCATTTTGTAAAAGTTGACTGTTTCATTTAGTAATGCTATTGGTTTAAACGTGCGATATGAGGATCTCTCGCCATCCGTGTTTGGGCGGACTCGACAGAAAGAAAAATATGTAATAAAAAATATTTTTCTTTTATTAACGTATTTGAGGCTTAGAATATCAACTGGATTGAAAATTTCATACTTTTAGAGAAGACTATTTCTTATATTAGGGACTTATTTATTCTTTATATTAGGGACTAGCAAATTCGTGGTAGACGGATGGCCCATCAGTTAATGAAGATCTGTGGATAAGGTGATGTCTATATTATTACTTATAAATATTAGAGTTGCAACGAATATTCAGTTACTGTTAGGCTTATTCGGCTTATTTTATGCCGAATACCAAATATTAAATCTCTATTTGGCCGAACACTGAATACCTGAAAACAAAAGACAGATATAAGAAAAAACGTGTAAATTTTATTAATGCTGAATATACATTGTAAGTTTGTGAAAGCGCAATTGTTCGCTGTTCGCGCGTTGTTCCTTTGTACTTTGTACAACAAAAGGTGTACAAAGTACAAAGGAAATGTAACATAACTAAATAATATTTTTAAAACAAAAAAATAGTTAATGTATCAACTGAAAATTTCCTACTTGCTATGTATGTACTTTAAAAATTAAATTAAAAACATTGGTGCTGGTGATATTACAGGTACATGGGACTTGCCAACTTATGTCTTAGGGTGACGGGCGTAGTGGCAGTGCCCGTCAGATCTTAGCGATTTAAAGCTCTGAGTGGCCCTGCAACTGTTATGGACAGGCGTGTAACTTACCATCAAGCGCACGACTTGTTCGTCCTGACACTTGATACTGTAACTTATAATAATAATAATAACACACATACTCATAGCCCCCCACTAGGGAAACCTTGTATCGCGGGTGCCATGGACACACACATAGACAACTACAAACTATATCCAAACTCACGAGAGAAATAAATGTGGTCCATACAAACATTTCTCGCGGCCCGGGAATCGAACCCGGGACCTCTGCTTGGCAATCCAGCATGGTAACCGTTTGGCCACGGAGGAAGTTAAAAGTTATAGAAATAAACAGTACTTTTTGTTTGTGTTTTCCTTTTTTTAAATGTAATTCCATGTGCCTGTAATTTCACCATCAGCACCCTTACTCTTCAAAACCGGAACGCAGTAATGATAACATTACCTACTGCTTGGCGGCAGAAGTAGGTAAGGTGGCAGTACTTCCCTGGACGAACTCTTTATAAGAATATATGTAAATGTAAGAATATATTGAATGAATGAATTAAATATTCTTTATTGCACTACATAATAATTTTTAATAAAGTTATGTATGTAGAAATAGAGATATCCATATAAATATTATTAACACATAATAATACATAAATAATCTTATTGAAGTTTATATATAAGAAAAATGAAAGATAGGTAATAAATGAAAGGACAGTTGAGAAAAAGACAAAACTTAGGAGTTGAGGAAGTGATCCTTGACACGTCGTTTGAAGGAATCAAGAGAAGTGGAACTTTGAATCGATTCAGGGAGAGAATTCCACAGTCTGATCGCAGAAACAGTAAAAGAGTTGGAATGAAAATTAGAGGTATGAGATGTTTAGTAAGAGAGCATCAGAGGAGCGTAGGCGACGGCAGTGTAGAAGTGACCATGATTTAGATTAATTCCGTCGGTTATCAGCATTTTAAATTTTTTTATAATCTTATCATTTTTTACGAGTGTTGCCAAACAGAATCAAGTGCAGCAAATGAACCACGCGTAGTGCTTCGCAGTGCACGGTACACGGAACAGTGTGTGATATTATGATGAAGGTGGAAGATTCGAAGTTCCGAGTGCTATATACACAGGTCGACTCGAAAGTCTTTATTAGGTAAATTATTTATGTTTTTTTTTTGTTTTTTTTTGCATTAATATTTTTTTAATATTATAAACTATACAATTTCATGCAAAGGAGCAATTGACCGAACGTTGCATTGTTATAATTTCAGACCGCGACCTTCACATTCTATTGTTCTGTTACGATTTAATGAATGAAATGATTTTGAAATAATTTATTTTTTTGTATATAATTTATTTATAATTTAGTTTAATAAGATGAAAACTACATTTTTATCATGTCCATTGTGTCGAGACTAATTTAAGAAACTACTTTTTCCTTCTTTTATTTCTTTTTATTTTATTAGGTATAGGTACTAAAAAGTATTGCTATCAATCGTACCATATCTGAAATGCAATTTAAACTCTTAATTTAGAATTTAAATCTAAGACTTATTACATCATTATTATGCAAAACGTAAGCATGTTGGCATAAGGAATAAAAATGTAAGATTATAAGAAATGAAACTATTTTTCCGGGTTTAAATCGCGTATATTTGTTTTTTCAAACAAACCGACGTTTCGGGCCCTTTACACGGTTGAAACGTCAGTTTGTTTGAAAAAACAAATATACGCGATTTAAATCCGGAGAAATAGTTTCATTTCCTATGTGTAACAATCGCGAACACCTAAGAACTCGATAAGATTATAAGCTTAAAAGTAATAGTAATAAAGACTAAACAATTACGTAGCAGTAGAGTTCCTTGTGAGATTTCGTCCAGGGAAATTCTGCCACCTATTTCTGCCGGCAAGCAATAATGTGATATATATACATATAATAATATATAAACATATAATAACGCACACAATCAACATAGCCCCGCACTAGGGAAACCCTGTGTCGCGGGTGCCATGGACACACATAGACAACCACAAATTACACCCAAACTCACGAGAGAAATAAATATAGGTCATTCAAATATTTCTCCCGGCCCGGGAATCGAACATGGGACCTCTGCGTGGCAGTCCAGCATGGTAACCATTCGGCCACGGAGGCAGTGATCATTACTGCGTTTGATTTTTGAAGGGTAACGGCGGTAAAATTACAGGTTTATCGTGGTCTTACTTTCCCAAACTCGGTACCTTAAAGCACAAAGTTACTGAAGTGCAAAAAATGGGTTGGATTTACTACAAATTTTGCAGCCTGATTTCACCTCACATTTCCTTCATATTCACGCACTGGCTTTTACCTATTCTTAAAGTAATGCACCCAAAGTAGCACCCTTGATAAGAAATTTAAAATAAATAGAAAGTTTTGCCGTCTCCTGAATAATAACTCTTCCAACGAAACCAACTCGTATCTTATGAGTTTAAGAAAGTAAGGTATCGACATGGAACTTGTCTACATATGTCTCAGGGTGATAGTCGCTGTGGCAGTGCCCCTCAGATCTTTGCGATTTAATGTTCTGCGGCACTGCAACCGTTATGGACAGGCGTGTCGCTTACCACCAGGCGCACGACTTGTTCGTCCCGTCGCTTGCTATCATAAAAAAAGACTAAATTTAGCGAGACTATGTGATTGAGAAAGCTGGTACGAAATCCAGATTGCGATGTTACAATACTAAATCATTGTCAACGGGTTGTAAAATTCAAGTGTTTTGAGTCTTCTTATGCTATCGACGGCATACACTGTAATGCTTATAATTTTCATTTTTGTCTGACGATCTCAATATAATTTCTTATACTTTGACATGTTGTGCAATTTATACGTAATGTTATTTGAGATTTGAGAAATAAATGAATCTGAATCGGCTTGCCATCGTTGCTTAACCAATCGATCCTAGACGTCGCGCGGGGAGGCTCCTTTCTTGCGGTGTTCTAAAGTGCCCCCGGAGTTATCATTACTCGGGTACAGTTCTGAGTTTAGTGATGATGTATTTATCTCCCACAGTTATTATTGTTGTTATACGATAATCTTGATTGTTATTAACAAATCATATTATATTACGTGTGTTACATCTTTGCCACTGACTTACAACCATAATATTACTTGATATTGTATGCTTTTATGTATTATCTTTATTATTTTGTTTAAAAACACGGCACGAATCGAGTGTACCAATTTTCGACTTTACTTATCAATGACAACTCCAACAATTTGTATGCCTTAATTATTCACGGTGTTTGTGTATAAGTGTGAAGTGTGACATCATCACTAGACGCCTCTATAGATTTGATAACACCTTCCTCTAGAATCGCGGAATGATTAAAAATACAAAATACGTATATCTTTACTTACGATTATAAAAGTAATACAAGATACAATACAATTACTTCGTAATATCAGAGGAGAAACTATCCACTCTATATTATCACGTATTAACTTGTAAGTGACTTCTGATAGAAGACGACTGTGTATTGTGGGCGGTCTCTAATAAAGTTATTATTAAATAAATAAAGTTTTTATTTATTATTATTATTATTTCTTAAGCAGAGTAAGAAATTTTAGGGTTTCCTCATTG